ATTAGTGCCAACTGCAACAAGGATTTTAAAGATCATAGCTTTAGTGAGGTGATCTGGCGCTGCCTTGGATCTCTCCCGAAAACCTAGATGTGAAAAACCAATTCCAATTTCTTTAAGAGCAATATTTACCATATACCCTAGTAGTCTTAGTGTCATTTCTAGTTTCTTCTTCAGATGAGTTCTTCATTAGAGAATGGTAGATTTTCGTTTTTTTGCTATGGTACATTTTTAATTTTACCAATCCTGAGACAATGATTTTGCAACCGATATAAACTCAGCAAGGTTTTGAGGTTCACAGCTCCTCTCATTCACCTGTGCTTCCTCAAATGTAGTCAGCTTTACCTCTGGACAAGAAAGAACTTTAGTTGCAAACCAAAGTTCTCACCCATGTCTGATGACCATGCACTGATTGCCTGTAAACAACTGCTTAATCAGAATTAAGTGAGAAATCTTACTGCAAGAGAGAGACTGCTTGGAGTTCTGCATCCTGTAGTTGGCTTAAACAACAATTGGCTTAAAGTCAAAGTGCATTTTATAAATAAACATTTTTTTAAATAAATGTTATTTCATAAACATGTGACTGTGCATAGGAAGAAGTTAACCAAAAATCTAAGCAAGCAAAGACACCAATTAAAGGCCTCCTTCAGAATAAAAACTACAAGTCACTCATGACTGTGAGGAGGGAAACATCGCGTATTGTCTTCAGTGTGTCTTCTCAACAACACACTCCTTCAGCTTTGCCTCCTTCTGATGCAAGTTCATGCATTTAAACTGTCCCCCGTTTTCATGACACAGTGACACATGCCGTCAGGAAACAGCAATGTTTTATTGAGCTTAGTCCCTAAACAAGTCAGTCAGATCAGTTTTCCGATCCCTCAAACCGGACCAGAACATTTTTCAGTTTAAAAAACAACAGGTTCTACCAAAAAAAAAAAAGGAACAGAGTTCAACACCGCTGGCCAGCTGCTGGAGATGAACAGAGGAAGGAGGAATGATGAACGAAGGAATGTCTGGGATAAATCCCTCGGAACGTCACAACGGCGATCAGATAAAACATGAGGGTTTAACTCCCACTAGAATGCACCCTCATGAAAGTGACCCACACAGAGAGGGGGGCAGTAAGGCATGTCCCCACAAGCGCAGCCACTGCTGAGACAGGCCTGCAGCTTGTGCTGACAGATGAGATTGTGGTGTGCAGAGAGAGAGGGTTGATTGTTAAGGCTCAGCAAGCAGACCCACATCGGGGGGTCTTGGAGTCTGAGACAGGGGAGCCCCCCTGACTCACACCCCTCAGACAGTCTTCCCCAGGCAGGGCGTGGGATTCATGGGTGTCCTCACCTGGCGCCTGGCGCGTGGAGTGAGGAGTGAGGAGTGAGGGACAGTGCAGAGAAAGTCCCAGGTATACAGACATCAGTCTGCCACTCCAGCTTTCACCAGCTGCGGGGACCTGCAGACTGTGCTGATGTTCTTTAACGCCACTTCTCTCCCGACAGGTTTCTCCAAATTAAGGCCACAAGCATGAACAATCCCGTGCCTGCTGGAGTTGGCTTATGTGCACTGTATCTGGGAAAACCTGGACTGGACCAACCACTATCAATGGAAGTGTAATTGACACTCCTACATTTTGCCCATGATGGCAACTGGTGGTGCTAAGTGTGAGAACCAGCCAGTGGTCCAGAGCAACTAGGGGTAAAACAGTCTGAGTGGACCCCTGTGCTGTGCGGACCTGGGGAGTTGACATTCTTACAGCGGAGCCCAGCCTGTACTGGCAGAGCAGCGCTGCTGTAGGAGCAAACAGGGTAGCTCAGCCAGCAACAGGTGAGCTTGCAGTCTAACTGTTCTTTCATCGCCTCCTGCAGCAGCATCTGCGTCAGGCCCTGCGACGAATGACCTATCTCCCCCTTGGCTTCTGCAGAGCACAAACCTGATAATCAGTACAGGGCTGCTCATGTAACAAAATTCAGGAAAGAAATAACAAACTCATTACGCTACTTAATATGGAACACCACATCTAAAATGCTTGGGCCCTGAAAACTACCAAACCCAAAAGGACTGAAACCAGTCAGATCTAGTGCACAGAAGTCTGATCCACTCCAGGCTTTTTAGTGTTGTCAGTCACATTCTCAGTCCACAGCACCATAATCCACTCCAGGTTTTACAGTGGTGTCAATCACACTCCAAGGGCACAGCAGTCTGATGTGCTGTAGGACTCGTGTACTACACTGGTGAAGCAAAAAGGCAAATATTCTGGCAACTATGTAAACCTCAAGTCTGTCTAAGCACATTTACTCAAAATAAAGTCAGAAGCATGAAACATCCAGCTGCACCAAGTGTTGCTAATAAATGAGAGCCCTGCAGCACATCTGTATAACCAGGCAGCAGAAGCCCTGTCTGCTGCCTCCTGGTGGCCACTTAGTGGATCACCATTGGCTGTTGTCAGGGTAGCTGGGCACGGTGGGGTATTCTGGCAGGCTGGGGCCGCTGCCCGAAATGGCGTGGAATCCTGCGTCGCGCACAGGGGCGTTCTTCCACGCCCCACTGCTCCACTCCTCCTGCGCTCGCTGCAAGCTGCCCCCTCCTCCGCGGTACAGCCGGTGTACCTGCAGCCAGAGAGAGAGCAGCTAACTGACGAGTCTACACTCAAGAAGTAACCAATTAACACTCGAGAATGAACCAATGAATACTCCAGAATTAACCAATTAACACTCAGTAATTAAACATTTTAATACTCAATAATTAACCAATTAACACTATTAATGAATCAAACAATAACAATCAAGTAAACACTCTAATTCCCAATGAAACACTCAATAATTAACCAAGTGCTGATCGGGTGGCCCGTGTGCTGCCTGGAGTTTCTGTCACTCAGTGAACAGTGCGACTCTGGCCAGGAGCAGGGGGAGTCCCACAGTGACTACAGCAGGCCTGCGGAGCATTCTCAGCACAAATCCGACTTGGACAAGAGCCCCAACACGAGCTGCGCTCCTGCTCACAGAGCAGGACAAAGATTTCCAGCTTTTTCCCCCACTGTTGCCTTCATTTGACGTCACTTTCATATTCTGTGTTTCTGAATGCTCTCTTTGGTGCCTGGTGTTGAATTAAAACAAAGCCCTAATTCCCCATTATCTCCAAGGATACACTCAGTGACGCCTGTTTCACTCTTCTCTCTTAGTTCCGAGCATTACACAAGGATACACCCCTCCTGCAGGCAGCTGTGTTTAATACCTAGAAACCAGCACAAGAGTCCTTGACTGGGGACCCAGAGGTGATGCCGTCGCTCACAGGACTGCACTCACCCGGATCAGAGCCACACTCATCAGCAAAGCCACCACAGTGAAGAGGATCGCCGACATCAGCATCACCACCGCCGAGCCCACGTTTGAGCTGAAAAACAGCACTGCTGACAGCCAGCCACTACAGGGAGAGACAGAGTCGATAAGGAGCAGTGTTCATTTAGTCACCAGTTTTTGATTTAGTCATAGTCTTAGTCAAGTCTAGTAGTCCTAGTCACCTTGTATTCACTCATTTTTAATTTAGTCCCATCGACTACATTTATCTCATAAATGTAATTTATCTGACTATAATTAATCTTACTTTAGTTGACTAAAACAGAATTAGTTCAGGTGGGGAGCTGCATCAGCATGCGTGGGCTGCAAAGGAACAAGTAATGGGTTTATTCCCTGCAGAAGAAAGAAAACCTTGAAGCTGAAACCTTGTGTTTTCTTTCTTCACGAAAAAGAGAATTAGTTTTAGTCACACTTTAACCAAGCAGTTTAATTTACTGGTATAAGAAAATGTATTTCTAATAAAATATTTAACACATCTGATAAGACTCTGTAAAAAGCACAGGTCTTTGCTGCATAATCTAAAGTGTATCAATCCCCAGAAAGGTCAAATATCAAATACAAAACATATGAGTGCAATAAAGGGTTTATAATAAAATATTATTATACAGAGACATCATATGAATCCAGTGTTAATTTAGTCAAGAAAAAGTATGAGGAAAATGTTCGTCAAGGTGGAGAGGGGGAGTTTGGAGGAGAGGGGGTATAGAGGGAGGAGAGGGGGGGTTTGGAGGAGAGGGGTATGGAGGGAGGAGAAGGGGAGTTTGGAGGAGAGGGGTATGGAGGGAGGAGAAGGGGAGTTTGGAGGAGAGAGGGAGTTTGGAGGAGAGGGGGTATAGAGGGAGGAGAGGGGGTAT